GATATATTAAATGGTGTCGGATTTTCCGACAGTTTAACCTTTCTAATTTGGTTGCCTGAAGATACCATGTTGCAGATGGCGAACCTTCAGCTATTCTCTGGTGTAGGTAGGCTTTGTTGAGATGTGAGAGTTTTTTTGTGATGATGTTTTTTATGTTCTCTAGGCTGGGTTGAATTGTTTTATGTATCACTGGATGACGAGTTGCCAATTTAGCAATTTCATCAGCTTTTTCATTTAATGGGATTCCAATATGGGATGGGATCCAGTTTAAAGTTATGTTGAGGCCTTTGCCTTTAGCGACTGCTCCTTGATACAAAATGGTGGTAATTATTTCCACATTATCTTTCCACTGTTTTTGTCCTAATATTTGAAGTGCAGCTTTTGAGTCTGTGTGTATGATTGCATTTTGAGTGTTTTGTGCAATCACATATGCGAATGCCTGTTGTATGGCGAACAGCTCAGTTTGGGTTGATGATACTAGTCCTCCCAGTCTCCAATATGCCTGAACGCTGGTCGTGCAAAGAGCAGCGCCAGCACTCTCATTTTCTGTGTCCACCGATCCGTCTGTGAAGATGTGGGTGGCTCCTGCTACTGCTATGCTATACATTTGCTCTTCTATTATGCGCCTTAGGGTTGTCGGATCATAGGCAGCCTTTTTCATTGGGAGACTTTCTATTACTATTTTGAAAGTAGGCTCTTCCCACGGCGCGGAAGGAGTGTAATTTGGGTGTGGATGATCACCCTCTCTATCAAGAATCATGTTTTTTAAATGTAGTCTGTTTAGGACTTTTCCTGCTCTTGCAACCCAAGAGTTTCCATTGTTTTGGCCTAGTCCAACCACCAAAGCCTGCCGTACTGGGATTGGATCAGAAGAAATAATTATCTTACTGATAATTGTAGCTGTCCTTTGTGATATTCTTTCTTGTAGAGAGGGCAAACCCGTCTCCAGTCTAAGAGTTTCAAGCCTGGTCCACATGGGGGCTCCCAGTGCAGCTCTCATAGCATTGTTTTGGGCAACTTCAAGCTTTTTCCACTGTTGGTGTGATAGATTTGTGAGTGCGGGTGCGGCATAATCGATCACTGATCTGACTGCCTGTACATAGTATGTGCGAAGGACTTGCAGATTGGCTCCTCCAGAAAGGGAGGTTAGCGACCTGAGGATTGCCGTCCGGGCTGCAGTTCGCTCTCTCAAGTATGTGACCTCAGCATTAAAATTCATGTGTGTGTCCAGGATGATTCCTAGATACTGATAGGTGTCGACCCATTCTATTGGTTGACCCTGTACTGTGAGTTGGATGTTGGGCTTCGCTATTTTTATGGGCATGGCCTTTGACTTTGAGGGGTTGAGTTTGATCCCAATCTGTTTTGCCTCTTTACTGATGCAGTCTAAGCATTTGGGTGCAAGGCGCGCCACATCCCTTCCTTTTATGATGATGACAAAGTCGTCCGCGTAGTTTAGCAGCCTGCAGTGATGTGGGAGTTTCAACCTCATTATTCTTTCCATTAAACAGTTGAAGAGAAGAGGGCTAAGAATACCTCCTTGCGGTGTACCATTTTCATGTCTTTTGTACTCAGAGACTGTGCCATGAAGTTTTACTCTTGCTTCTCTGTTTATGAGACAGTTTTTGGTCCAGGAGAGCAGGTTGCCTCTGACCTCTTTGTCAATGAGGCAGCAGAGAATAGCTGGGGCGCTAGCCAGTTCAAAGGCTTTTTCGAGGTCCAGGAATATCAGCATTCCTGGTCTGTCATTCAAGTGGCCTAACAGAGTTGTAATACATTCCACTGTGCCAACCCCTCTTCTATAGGCATACATATCATGATGCAGTTTAGGCATTTTCCACTCCAGTCTGTTGAGTGCCATTCTGTCAGCCGTCTTGGCTGCACAGCTTTGGAGAGAGATGGGCCTGGGATTAGCTGGATCTTTGGGTTTTGGGATCGGCACTATGTCTGCTCTATTCCAAGCAGAAGGTCTAGTTTGAGAAGTCCAGGCTAAATTAATTAACCTTAGGTATGCAGCGTCTCCCTCTGGGCCGAGGTTTCTAATCATTTTATAGGTTATTTTGTCGGCTCCAGGGGATGTATCCTTGGAGTTTTTCTTAGCCCGATTGAGCTCATCCAGTGTGAAGGGGGCATTAGTGTCAGAGACTTCTTCACATGCTGTAAGGATTCTGTGCCACCTTTCTTCCTCTAGTCTGGTCTGTACTGCTAATACATCTGGTGGAAGTTGATTGCTGGCTGCTCTCTCTACAAACCTGGTTGCCAGTACTTCGGCTTCCTGTTGAGGATCTTTGGGGTGTGGAGCTTTAGGTGTTTTATTCCCTTTGGCCCGGTGAATTTGCTGCCACATCTCCCCGAGAGAGGTGTGTTCATTCAGGTGTGAATACCATTCTAGCCACTTTTGTTCTTTTATTTGTCTGGTCTCTCGATGTACATGTTCCTTGACCTCACAAAGTAAGATCCTGTTGCGGTCACTTGGCTGCTTTTTGTATAGCTTTCTTGTTCTATTGAGTCTATGGTTGAGTTCTTTGACACGTTCGCAATAGTACCAATGATCTTTATGGTGTCCGGTGGACTGTTTTTTCAGTGGGATTGAGTGGTTGGCTGCACTTTGAATCGCTTTGACAAATTCTTGTTCTGCCTGATTAATGTCTTCGGGAAGATCATAGTTTCTTTGCCACTCTGAAATGAGGTTTTGAAATCGGTCCCAGTTTGCTAAAGCAAAGTTCCAGGCTTCAGATGGAGGCGGAGGTGGGGTGGGTAGGTCTAACTGAAGATCAATTTGGACCCCATAGTGGTCGCTTGTGAGTGTGGGCTCAACTGACCATGTTGCTGCATCTCTTAGGGAGGCTGAAACGAAGGTTAGGTCTAATCTGCCTCCTTGGATGTGGGTAGGTTCATTCTTGTTTAGGATTTGTATTTCTGGAAGCTGGTCCAGTAGATGTGTAATGTGTATGCCGGCTTCATTTGTTTTGTTCGAGCCCAGTGCCAATCGATGATGGGCATTAAAATCTCCACAAATGATTGTGTTTTTGTTGTTGTCGCGTGTCCAAATAACACAGAGAGATCCATTTCGGCTTGTGGAGACCTGTACACATTGAACACTTCAAGTTTGTCGTGTCTTAGCTCAATGGTGACTCCCATTACCTCTGTCCCTGCTCCACAATTGGGTGGGCTGGTTATGGATTTGGAGATCAGGTCACATTTTACATAGATTGCACATCCCCTGGACTGCCCATTGATCCATGGAAGGAAGAAGCCTCGATAGCCTGAGATTTTAGGTTCTAATCCGGCTCGAAGCAAGCTCTCCTGTAGTATCAGGATGTCTATGCCTTTGGTTGCTGCTATGCATTGCAAGTGTTGCAATTTAGTGCGCAGTCCTTGCGCATTCCATTGCAGGATCTTTAGAATTCTAGGTTCTTGGAATGTGCTGATAATTCCGTGGTATCCATGGAGTCTGATGAACACGCCATGGAAGTTGCAATTGGGTATTTATAATATTCACTTCCAACTTATATGTTGTTGTGATACCCGTTCCACATCACTGTTCCACGAATCACCGTTCACTATTTTTTTTTCCCTAATACACACATGTACACAAAGCCTCGTTCACTGGCTCACACGTGCAGGTCTCCCGTTTATTCTCTATTTAACACAAAGTTCTATTGTTAATGACTATTTTCAATTTTCCAGCGGGTCACTATGCACTTTGTTATGTCTGTAATCAGTAATCCACGGCAGTAGTCCTACGAATCCCTGTTAATGTCACGATTTTAACGGAGCGCGCACGGTACGTCTACCCCCTCCCTCGACCTCGACTCGACCTCGACTGGTATTTAGACCACTTCCCCATTTTACACTTCTTTATCTTAACACTTAAGCAAATTCTAAAAGTAACAGCGGTAACTTCTTTTCTATATGCGGTAACTTGTGTCGAACTATCCTTCTGGAGGTCAGAGCCACACTAACAATGAAAGCACAGATGAAGCTGCCAAGTTCACTGTATGCTAATTCGCTCTTAACGACAGTCATTTGATTCTTGGAAACACCTAAAGAGAAACCTAATATTTACAGTAGGCAACAGTGGGAGGTCACTTAACATAGACAGTACCCAGGATGAAGTATTAATGGCAATTAAGGTTGGGAAATCTATAGCCCGTGGGGAGGATTATCTTGCCTTGCGGTTACTTTTTCTTTGGGGAGTTCCTAGGATCAACGTCCCCAAGGGGTCGGTCTCTGACCTGGCCATCTGCAGTAAGTGGTCTATTCAATCAAGCTATTGGACGCGGCTGTGATTTGTACACATGACATTATAAAAAGCATAAAAATCATCATTGAGTTTCTTAACATTAATAGCCCAACTTGTTTTTAAAGTAGCCCAAAAAGTCGCAAGTAGCGAAATTAAAAAATTGGGAGCGCGGGGCTCTGAAAAGTAGCCCAATTCGCTATTTGTAGCCCAATCTGGCATCCCTGGGCGTTGTTCCTCACTCCCCCCCCCCCCGACAAGGAGGAGACAGTTGCCAATGAGTGTATATTTTATATTCATACTTACAGAGTTATTTCCGACATTATTAAAAAAAAAATCACATTTAGAACGTACGACGCAATACCTTCTGCGCGCCACAGCAGCGGGGCACCGGATTCTGACCAATTACGCATGGAAATGTACCATAAATACATCAATTTATATCGTAAAATTATTCGGATTGCACCACAGTGTTGCCAGAACTACGTAGTATTTTTATAAACTTTTCAAAATGTTACGATCTTTTCCGAATTTGTTCATACTTAAACCCTCTTAATAAGAAAAATGCAAAGTAGTGCATTCACCATGGAAGCAATCTTTTCCTCAGAAAGTACATAATCGTGTTCCATTATGTATTAAGAAAAAATTTCAAGCATATTCTTCAATTCGAAAACATGAGAAAAATATAAGAGTTAAATGTAGAAAACCAGTTACAAACAAAAGTAAGAAGTAGGAAAAATAAAGTGTGGCACCAGACAGAACACTGGAACGCCTTGGTGAGCGTCGTCGCCATTATCACAACACCAGACGGTGAGTGTCCAGACATAAGCATAAAACCTTCCCACAAACTGCACCTATCATAAAGAAGAAGCCCCACTCTTGCAGTCACCACTCTTGCAGTCATTCGGAGGAGAAAACCTTACCAAAACTTCACCTATCAGAGAAGCAGCCCCACCATTGACCGCCAAGTGCTCACATCAAGTTCAACTCTTAAGAAACAACACTCAAGCTTCGCCTAACCCTCAACATTGACGCCCCACCGTGAGGCGTCTCCCAGCATCACCACTCGTGCAGTCATCTGGAGGAGAAAAACCTTCCCACAAACTAAATAAAGAAGATGAAGACTCACCAGTGTCCAGAGTGTGGGAAGAGGTTCAATCACCTTGGAAATATGAAGACTCACATGTTAGTGCATTCTGGTGAAAAACCTCATAAGTGTCCAGAGTGTGGGAAGAAGTTCAGTCAGCTTGGAAGTAAGAAGACTCACATGTTAATTCATTCTGCTGAAAAACTTCATAAGTGTCCAGAGTGTGGGAAGAGGTTCAGACATCGTAGAGGTATGAAGACTCACATGTTAATTCATTCTGCTGAAAAACTTCATAAGTGTCCAGAGTGTGGGAAGAGGTTCAATCACCTTGGAAGTATGAAGACTCACATGTTAGTGCATTCTGGTGAAAAACCTCATAAGTGTCCAGAGTGTGGGAAGAGGTTCAATCACCTTGGAAATATGAAGACTCACATGTTAGTGCATTCTGGTGAAAAACCTCATAAGTGTCCAGAGTGTGGGAAGAGGTTCAAACATCTTAGAGGTATGAAGACTCACATGTTAGTGCATTCGGGTGAAAAACCTCATAAGTGTCCAGAGTGTGGGAAGAGGTTCATTCAGCTTGGAAGTATGAAGACTCACATGTTAATTCATTCCGGTGAAAAACCGCATAAGTGTCCAGAGTGTGGGAAGAGGTTCATTCAGCTTGGAAGTATGAAGACTCACATGTTAGTTCATTCGGGTGAAAAACCTCATAAGTGTCCAGAGTGTGGGAAGAGGTTCAGTCAGCTTAGGAGTAAGAGAAGACACATGTTAGTTCATTCAGGTGAAAAAACTCATAAGTGTCCAGGGTGTGAGATAAGGTTCAGTCGGCTTGGAAGTATGAAGACTCACATGATGATGCACATTGATGAAAGATCTTTTGAGTGTGATAAGTGTGGCAGAAGGTTTAGAGATCGTAGATCTATATTAAGTCACATGTTAGTACATACAGAAGAAAGGTCTTTTAAGTGTGATAAATGTGGCAAATTATTTAAGACACATTTTAATATAAAAGCACACATGTCAGTGCATTTGAATGATAAACCTTCATGAGTGTCCAGAGTGTTGGAAGAGATTCAATCATCTTTGTATTATACAGTATATTGATTTATTTATTTACTTATATTCAAGAAGGTACATTGGGTTTATGAGAGTACAGAGATTTGACGTTTTACATTCTTGTAAAGCCACTAGCACGCATAGCATTTCGGGCAGATCCTTAATCTAGCATTTAATTTAAAAAAAGTAGTTTTTAGCAAAATTAAATTTTTTGTTACATGTACATTGTAAGAAAGTATAAAAATACATTGTATGAAAACTCACAGGATGGAGCATTTGGGTGATAGGTTAAACATTTTAGTTGAGACAAATCAGAAGATTTTTAAGTATAATATATTGTGGAGGGAACCACATTCAAGTGCCCTCCAGTGGCAATATCTCATGTGCTAGGTGCTCCTGATTGATGGAAAGCAGTCCTGTGTTGTGCGCCTGTGCACCACCCACGCGCATGCCAGGAGGCGGTGGAGGAGAGAAACGAGAACCACACCTGACCGAAGAGACACCCGTTGGTGACGCCTTCTGAACTTTGGTTATTCGGCAATCATATTGGCCAGCTATCATTGGACCTCGCCCCCATCACATTGTTTCAGCCCGCCCCTAGAAGACTTCAGCTTGAGGTGAGTAACTGTTTTCCATACATTCATACACATTTCTGTGCATGTCGATTACCACGTGGTTGGTCATCCCGTACCTCATAGGTAACTGCCTCCACACTGGTGCAGTGAGTAATCGGCCTACACGGTGATCAAGAGGACCTTGCCATGCTGTATGCATCATTCTCGTGCTGAATGTGATTGAGACTTCGTGTTCAACATTACAGTTTCATATACATGTACAGTACTGTCTTCGGTTTCTCCATATATGTTCTCTAGTTAGTTAGGATTTGATCAGTGCCTTTCAGCTGCGTGTCTAAGATATTGTGGTCCCTGGTTTCAGTATCTGTGCTTTATTCCCTCATTTCTTGCATTTTTCTGTGATTTTATATTTCATCATATCTGTGCTCCTGAACTAAGAGTATTCTATGGCTCCCAGTCATCCAGCAATTTTCTCCACGTTAGATTCATTCCCCTGATTTTCTGCCCTATTTGCAGCATCAATTTTCTCCATTTTTTAATTTTCTCTATTTTTCGTGAATTTTTTTAAATATTCATTGTTCTCAAGACGACACCATCACCCGGCCCAGCCGCGGCCATACTTGTTCCTATGTGTTGGCTTCTGCCCCACCAGTTGGCATCAGCCCCACCAGTTGGCATCTGCCCCACCAGTTGGCATTCCCACTTACCACTATGGTTGTATCTTAAGTTTTCTTTGCATTTGCTATTTTTCTTGATATTCTACCTCATAATTCCAAGTTTTCTGCAATTTGTGTTAATTTAGTTAGAGGAGGAGACCAGGTTACCAACTCACAGATCCAGCCCTGCTGTTGACGAGCGTATTGAGGCTCGGTGTTATTGTTTACTCATGGTTGTGGAGGACCCAGTGGCCTCAGCTATGCAAAAGGGTTTGTTGCACCTCGTTGTGCTGTATTATACATTGGCTGCACGAACTTTCCTCATATATATGACTCCAGGGGAGACATGTGTGTCAAGAAAACTAGTGCTAGTGTACTTAGAACTGAGTAAAGGAAACCTGATTTCTACCCTTTGTGCACCATTGAGTTTCTCCATTCACCTGAAATACATGTGTTGTTTATTTAATGGGTGCATGAACTTTGAAATATATACATTGGTAAATATAGACATAAGTGCATAAACCTAGTTTTGAGTGAAGCTTAATACATTTACCTGAAATACACATGTGAAATATACTGATATATCTTAGAGTTAAGTGAAGGATACTAATGAATTTATATAATTGAAATACTGAAATATTGATACTTGAAACATTGTGGTTTGCAAATTTCCACTTTTTAGAGAAACTTAAATTCATGTGATATTCCTACAAGTGATCAGTGAGAATACTTAGAAATAAGTGATGTGTTCTTACCTAACTCGTACCTGTAAAAGTGCAGTATATATTTACTCACCCTAAATTTTAAGTGCATGACCATAGATTTAAGTGCATGATCCTAGATTTAAGTACATGCTCAAGTTAAGTGTATGAACTTACGATTATCCAGTCCTATTCAGTGTTCACGTCCATACCAAATGTGATCTAAGTTTTAAACATTCCGGGAGGGAGTAACATTGAGTTCAGGTAATCCTAAGTATTGGGGCTACCCTGTTTTTTCTCCATTTTTTGAATTGGTACACTGAATGGCTACCTCAAACATACTGGATATTTCCTAAGGGTCATCCGCATCTATTAGATATATTCTTGGATGTGGAATACTATGCTTGACCATTCCTAGAATTAAGGTCTATTCCCTGGCGTGTCTTATTTTTATTGGTGTTTAACCTGGCTGTGAACGTACATTGTCCAAAAAATATTTCTGAGCTTCGGCTTTTCATTACTGCAAGATGCCCCACATACGCATTAACTCGGCATCTGTTGGTGATCTAAAAGTGCTACCTGGAGTGTCATACACACTGGCCAATCGAATTGTAAGATTTAGACACACACATGTACAATCACGACAGACAACATCCACCATATCTCTCACCTTCAGATTACGACTCTCTTGTTGAATGCCATATCTTTTGACACAGACCCGCTCCCTCAGGGCTTGAGCTCCAACACAATAGTAGAACCAAATGCTAAGGGATGTTCAAACTTGCCATTAACCACTGGGAATGCCTCAGCTGATTCTGGAGGTGCGGCTGCACACAGTCAGGTCAGACGTATGTCCCTCATTTTACCCATGGGTTGCATAGTTCCTGTTTTCTGAGACAGGGGCATATCTCAACTAAGAGGTCATCTCATTCCACTCACCATCCAGTTCGACGGTTGTCGACTAGCTCCCAGAATTCTGAGTCCGACGACTCTACTTCTCCTAGCCGGTGGACTGGGCATAGTCGATGGAGTAACTCGTTCCACCCACTACCTCGGGAGCTGAATTATGATGGTAAATCAGATTGGACTCCGTTCTATTGCCGTTTCACATCGTATGCAGCGAAAAAAGGTTGGAGCGGCACTACTTCCCAAACAAATTTGGGTTGGTGTTTTAAAGGCAAAGCCAGTGATTTCTATAACCAGATACTAGACCGGGAACCATCAATTGATTTTACTCGCATGATGTATAAACTTGTCAAGCGATTTGGGGATAGGGAGGTTTTGGACGTGGCAATAATGAAATTTTCTCAGGCCCACCAGGAGCCTGGTGAGGAAATTAGACGAAGTGGTCTCAGAGATCTCGGATTCGTGACAAATTGGACGATATATGTGAGGGTTTGAGGCGTCTCACGAATGCTATCATATCGCCTCGTGGTCAAAGTACCCCATCACCTAGGAGGAGTAAAAATTGTTACCTATGTGGGGAAGAGGGTCACTTTGCTCGGGACTGCCAAAAACCCAGGAGTGGCTGGGATGAAGGCCGTAAACAAGGGGAACATACAGAGGTTATCTTGAGATGATTTCGGGGCTTAGTGTCCCCGCGGCTGGTCCTCGACCAGGCCTCCACCCCCATGAAGCAGGCTGTGACAGCTGACTAACTCCCAGGTACCTATTTACTGCTAGGTAACAGGAGCATCAGGGTGAAAGAAACTCTGCCCATTGTTTCTCGCCGGCACCCGGGATCGAACCCGGGACCACAGGATCACGCGTCCAGTGTTCTGTCCACTCAGCCAGTAGCCATCCACCTTATTACAGACAATAAGCTTCAAGTTTCATTTAATGAGAATTGGTCTTTAAACAGGGACGGGTTGGCTCGAGGCCTAGATCCGACCCACTATTTACCAGGCCAGCAGAGTGCGGCTGCGCCACATTTAATGATGCCAGGGGCCTTCTCAAGGGTTTAAAACATATACCATCCAAATACCAGTACTAGATATCCATCAGGAAGATAGGCAGTCCATCGAATATTTTCCGACGGTGCGCTTGACATTTCAGCACCAGCCGACACAAGGAACGTAGGCGGAGGTAAAATTAATGTGCCCTAGGAGGAGGAAGACTTTTATCAACAAGAGGGGGGCAAGTTTAACTCTTAAACTGCGCATGGCATATATATACGCTCTGAGTAACATGTCCCACCGTGCGCATGGTGTATATATACGCCCAAGGGTGCCAGGCCCGATTCAAATGGCCCGCGGCTACACGGGGTTCACATTAGCTTCCTCAGGGCTCTTGTAAACAGATGCCATTTTTTTTTACAAAATCGTGGGCAATATTCTCAGGTGTGAGAATCACAGTACTGTTGGAGCAACCAAGGCTGGCGCACGCAGCATGAGCGAACAGCATTGCTGTTCAGCTTGTGACCACAGCATCGCCGAAAAATGTCAAAATAAATATATAATTGTTATTATTTAGTGATGACAATATTACAGATGACCCCTGACTGTGATATAAATAACCAGGGTTGTGATAATAGCAGGATTGTTGTAATAATTAGCGCTGTGGGAGGAGTGATGCTGAGAGACGGAGGGAGACAGCATCGTTTACTGACTGTGTGGCCACCTGTTATTGTTTGCATTCACCATACCAGCTCAGTTGTTCTCTATGGTGAACACAAATGTAGATACTTATATATATAATGTGTGTATTAGTGTAATAACTGCAAAAGGATTATGCTGGGAGGAGCCATTTGGGTGACGGAGGTGACGTCGTCTGCATGATTTGTCTAGCTGTTTAGAGGGTGGCCACTATGCTCTTTGGGCGCACTACAAGCTTAGGTGTACAGTTACGGTGCATACAACATGTAGATACTTATATATAATATGTGTATATAGGGTAATAACACTGCAAACAGTATTGTTAGGGGAGAAAGTTTAATGCGTGTGACCTTGAATGAGTGAGGGAGCCGCCAGCTGTGTATAGTGACGACTCGTAGTGCCTGAACTAACTATATCAGCTTAGCTGTACAGTTGTGGTAAACAAAATATATACATACTTATATATAATGTCTGTATATAGTGTAATAACACCACAAATGGTATTGTTGGGGGAGAAAGTTTAGTGCGTGTGGGGTGTTTCTTTTTTGCTTTCACGACTGCAATGCGTACGTCGCCAATGTACATGTGGCAGACGCTTCACGAAGCTGCCGGAATTAGCAGAATAGAAAATACGAGAGCAACCGTACAGGGCCTGGGAGCAAGGTCGAGTTAGAGTCCTTGAGGGTCTCTTCTCGGACTAGCCTCACCTGGTCCTGCTCCACGTTGATCGTTGGAATCTCCTCAATGATTTAACACTTTAAGGGACTCCTAGGGTCCTCATCACATTTATAGAGTAGTGAATATAGGCAACTCGGTGTTGAAGACACTTAGAGCTGAAGGCTTGTATAATATTGGCAGTATTCAGAAGTGGTTCAACGGAAACACCGCATAAAGCTTAACAGTAGTTTACTTACTAACTTAACCACTAATACACAGGGTGCTTGATTTACTTTAGATTGGCGTCAGCAAAGCTATGGTTGTATTAGCGAGACTTTTGACGTCTGGCTAAACGACTTGTATCCACTTGTGAAAAAACACCTAACTTAACACAGTTGACAGCCAATCATTAACATGGCAACATAACTGCCGGTATGCAAAGGGATCACAAGAGTTCCAACCGGATACTCGGTAATGATGATATGCAATAAATCAACAACTACACTGTCAATGGGACAGGCAATAACATGCACAATAATATCACACACAATAACTAAATGTGTGGTGTATGTGAAGCTCACAAACACAGACTAGTGAAATGCAGCGATACCACACAGATAAACACGCATTCACCGTCGATTCACCTATAACCTGTGACAGGTATGAGAAGGTGAGAACTGTGGTTGATACCTCAGCTCAACACAGACACAATAAAACAATGACAAGATCTCGTACTTACAGATAGGGTACCTTTCCTTATTCACTCACTCGCTCAGGCACATTTATACAAGCACTCGTAGGTGGCCTGACAGCTGGTTTTGCTCGTAGACACGGAGGGTACTTGCAGTAGGGCGGGCTGTATCCTTAACGGACAGACACCCGCACACACACTGGCGCTGGCGATGAGTAAGGTGGTGACGTCATGTAGTAGTGAGGGCGGCTCGAGGCACAGAGGTACA